TCCTATGGAGTTAGTGAAGTGCTTGGTGCACAGAAAATTCAAGTTCTGCTTTCAGGAATTTTCTGGGTATTTTCTATCTGAGGTTGGTTGAATTTATAGATTTGTAGCCTGCAGATACAGAGGGTTGATGTTACTCTGTATGGTGTGTAAGGGCAAAGGCTGGAGTCTAGGAGACCTGAGTTTACTCCCTGTCTCTCATGTGCTGTGTGCACACCTCAGTTCCCCCCTCTGTAAAGCAGGATGACATCACATAGAGTTTATGTGAAGACTGAACAAGATGACAGATACGAAGGGCATGGTAAGCCAGAAACACATTAGACCATGCTGGTGGTATTATTGTTTCTGGTACTTCCATTCATGGTTGTCCTAGACCAAAGCTTTTCACCTCAAAGAAAGGGAGTTATCCTGAAATATTGATTTGAAGGGGCCTTTTCCATTTTCAGTGATAGGTCCAATATACATCCTTTGAAAGACAGTGAGTTTTCCCAGAGCTGCTAAGACACTGGGGGTTGGGGGTGGTGTTGGGTGGAGGGAGGCATTTAAAAAAATCCTCAAAAAGATTATTACTAATCTTATTTCCTAAACAATTCTTCTAATTCACTAAATATTTTACTTACTGTCTTTTCATTTCACTTTCCTCCAGTTGCACATGCTTTTGCTTTTGATGTAGCACACACTTAAAAATACATTATTGAACAGATGAGCCCATCACCCCTGGAGCTGACACTCTGTCCCCTGCTTATTCTTAACAAATCCCCCTTTGTGTTCTTTTGTGCTGAAGTGATTAATCATTTCACTATCCGAGGGCTGCTGACAATCTTTCTAGATGACTCCAGCTACCATGACCTCCCATCCCCCAATATCGACACTGTTTTTAACACATTAGGAACCTGCTCTTGGCTCTTTATTCAAACACAGTGGGCTTCTCCTTTCATATAACAATAACTAGCAAACCTCCAAAAGAGCTCTGTTTTTATTTCTTGACTTTTTTCCAGAGTTCAGGGTTGTGGGTGTGAATGTATGTGTGGGGGTGATGGTGATGACTTCAATGAGCAAACAAGGAAGTGGAAAGTTAAAAAGTCAAAATGATAAACGCTTGTTTTGCAGACCAGACAGGAGGTTTTTAATCTCACTGTCTGAAGAAACCTGTTGTGCCTCACTGTTCTGTGCAGTGTCATCCTCTTTACTGCATGGTGGCTGGAAACTATTTCTCCCTTTTTCTCTTTCCCTCTGGGGGTCTGTGATAGTTTTCAGCCTTGGGTTCACCAAGGCTGAAACTTAGTTTCCTGAGACTGAGACGTAGCCAGCATAGGTTTTGGGGGCTGCTCATTAGTTAATAACTATCACCAACATTATTAATTTTTTTTTTATTTTATTGGGACTGGGATTTGAATTCAGGGCTTCATGCTTGCAAAGCAAGTACTCTACCACTTGAGCCATACCTCCAGCCCATTTGGCTCTGGTTATTTTGTAGATGGGGGTCTCATGAACATTTTTCTGAGTTGGCCTCAAACTTCAATCTTCCCAATCTCAGCCTCCCAAGTAGTTAGGATTTTAAAGCAAATTTTAAAGGTCCTGTTTTAAAAAGCTTGTCCCCACTCCATCACAGGTACACACTGTTAAACTGGATTCAAAAACATGTTTAAGGAACAAACTCAAAATATGTTACTGTTAGAGAAGGGAAAGCTAAAATGATTTATAGAGGAGCTATGTAGATACAGGTATTATGATAATGTTAATTACTATGGAATTTCAGGGTGATTTTTAAAAAACACGTATTTAATATGTGTAAATAAATCTGCACTTGAGACTCTCAAAAAGATAGTTCCAAGTAGCTGAGGACTGGAGTTCTGAGATAATGCACAATAGGTTAATTATAAACATTCTGATACTAAGATGTTTTTTCAGTGCTGGGATGGAACCATGCATGCTAGGCAAGCACTCTACCACTGAGTTATGCTTCCAGCCCTCTGATTTTAAGATTTTTAATCAGGTCTCAGAAACCTAGTCAATGTTTATAGAAAGATAAAAATGAGAATGTAAAATCCTTTATATTTTAAATTCCATAGGTCCATAGACTTCTAAATATTTGGAGTTACAATAAAAAATAAGGCTCTAAAGTGAAAACTAAAAGTTGTAATAATAAACAAAGAACTGACCATAGGGTACAGTTTTTGTAACCAAGAATATCATCTAAAGGTATCTGAAGAAGTAGTCCTGCAGAGGGACATTCACCAGAAAATGGAGCTGCTGAAACACAGCATTTTTCTAAAACTTTAAGGCACAAATGGACTCAGGAATGGTGCTGTATGAGTAAAAGGAAAACTACCTCAAATTAAGAAAAACAAAAAGAAAAGTTAACTTGAGAGGCTTAAGAATCCTGACACTTCGGTATCTATTCAGAAATTACAGGCTCTGTGGGCAGCTTTGAAAATCAGAACAGAACAATGTGCAAATATCTTGGAGAACATGTTCCAAAGTTCTTGAAAACATCTGAGTTCCAACCCTACATTTTCTCAATACTTACCCTCACCAAAACCAATTAACATGAGAACAAAAAAATTGCACACCTACACAGTAAATTCATCAGAGCTTGTAAAATGCAATGGCACAGGGAAAAGTAGGTTTCTACTTTTTTTAGGTTAAAATGAGCTAAATAATTCTAAGACTATAAGAACTACATATGTCTTATTTAAAATGATACCTAGATAGAAGCTCTTATTTATCCCTCTTCCATTCTCAAACTATCATTTTCTGTCTTAGAAATTATTTTTCTAAGATCTGTGTATATACAATAGTAATTTGCAACAAATCAATGTAATTTTATAACCCTCAATTTGAAAAAATAACAGAGAACATTGTGTGTGGTTTTCATAATAAATACAATTTAAAAATGTGTATCTTTGAGTTGATCATGCTGGATAGATGTGTTTTAATTATTCCAAGAACTGCTTTACACACAGCACATTACCAGTGGAAATAGCTTTGACTTTCAGCCCTTGATTCTACCAGCAGCAACACAGTAATTAACCAAATTATTCCTGCCAACTTATTATCTTGATTTCTTCAACTTGTAAAATTCATTATCTATCAAAATGAAAATCAAGATACAAGTGGTAGATACAAAAGTCTGCACTTTCCTGACATGCATATCATGGTAACTGCTGGATTCCTTTCTAAGTCCAACCATTGGGAATTAACTGGTGAATTTTCATCTCTATCAAATTTGGGCTCATTGCACAGTACATGCTAATACTTCTGGGTAACATAAGAGTCTTGGCAGTCCTTAGAGAGCTAATGTTTTAGGGGAACAGTACTCCAGATCTTTTTATTGTCGGACTAGAGGACAATAGGGTGAATAGTGAACACAAACAACAGAAAAAAGGTCAAGTTATTCATTCATTCCTCTTTGGTATTTAGTAAGCACTGATATGTGCTCAACATTGTGGAGAAAGATGGTTCATAAGATCTTTATGTAGTATGTGTTGTAGTAAGAATAAAGGGAACACAGAATAGGAGCATCTAACTCAGGCCTGGGGTATCACAAAGGCTCCTAAAGGTGTGACATCTTGAGGAAGGATGGAAGGCAACAAGAGTCAGTCAGCTGAATTTGTGGTCTGGACAGGCAGAACATGTCCAAGGTAGGAAGAGGGAGAGTTAGTGCCAGAGGTTGGGGAAGAGCAGTGGTAACACCCATGCAGAAGAGGAAACAGAGTGTGAGGCGGAGAGTGGGAAAAGATCAGGCTGGAACAACCCTCAGGGCCAGATTGTCTAGGAGTCTTACTCTATCCTGAGCCCAGGGGAGCCACTAAAATGTGTTGAGCTAACAGTTGCTTTGGATAGCTGGTTTTGCTTGCACTGTGGGGAACTGGCTGGAGGCAGCCAGGGGTAGGAAGCCAGTCAGAAATTCTCTAGGGTTATTTAGGCAGAAAAGGATGGTGGGCTAAACTAGGCGGGTGCCTGGTGGTGGAGAGAATGGACTGATTTGAGGGAGGCAGAGTTGACAGGCATGGGGATTTGCTGAACAGGCTGAGCATGAAGGAGAAGAAGAACCCAGTGGTTTGGGCAGCCAAGTGATGACAATAATCCATGCTGGAGGAAAAGGTGGTAGAGGTGTAAGGTGACATTAAGGTGGAGGTGTCCATGCCTGTTTAAGTGATTCAGTTTAGGGGAAGTTGGATAGGTGAGCAGAAAACTCAGAAAACAGAACTGGGTTCAAGACATACATTTAAGACCCATCAACACATGGTTGTTGCTACAAGAAGCCAGAGAAACTGTAGCAGGTGAGCAAAGATGCCAGGAGAGAACTAAGGGACACTGACATCGAGGATAAATATAGAAAGACAGAAGCACAGAGGAGACTGAGAAGAATGACCACACAGGTAGGAACTAACTCGGGTGGATGAGTGTGTGTGTGTGGGAGACATCAGGGGGCATTCTTAGCATGAATCCTGCAGTCAGCACATCTAATGACCAGCCAGACACAAGTGAGGAATGGTCTTTGCATATGTGATAAGCAAGTTTGGGGTGATGGCCTTCGTCAGGCATGGGTGGGGCAGGGTAGAAACAAGACAGCAGGGGGTGGAAGCATAAATGAAAGTGAAGATGCAGAGAGACTTTTGCCAGAGGAAGGAGGAAAGAGTCACAGGGAATGTGGCACTGGAGAAACCTTACTTCATTTCTTTCTTTTTGGTAAGATAGAAATACTGTTCATGTGTACCCTGAGGACAAAAAGCCACTAGAGAGACAACTATTAGGAGAGAATGAAGAGAGGCTCCTAAGTGGGCTGGAGTAGTGGATGGGACCATGAAGCACAGGCAGAGGCATGACCCCCACATAGGAGGAGGGCCTTTATCTTTAGCAAAGAGAGAGGAAAGGTTGGTGTGATGCAGGTAAGTATCTAGGTGTCAGCAGACTGGACTGCAGGAGCTCTAGGAAGACAGTTTATGTCCATTTGATTCAAGATTGGGCCCCAGCACCTGCAACAGAGTGTGGCATACCGACAGGCTGAAGATAGCAATCCCCAGGATGCTCACAAGGGAACATGTCTCTATCAGGAACACAGAAGGTGAAGCACCTGCAGAGAGTGAGAAGGAGGTGCTGCTATCATAGGTACATGGCAAGCAGGGATGGCCTTACCCAAACAGGCATTCCCAGCAGCTGCCCTAGAGAATGGGTTCTTTGAGATGAAAGCACAGGCACTCACTGCACACATAAACCCATAAAGAGCATCTTCTGTGTTGCCAGCAATTAAGAAACTGTCTAAAACTGTTCCTTAGGGGCTGAGGGTAGCTCAGTGGTACAAAACTTGCCTAGCATGTATGACACCCTGGATTTGATTCCCAGCATGGAGAGGAGGGGTTTGGATGGGAGGGGAGAGTGCGAGAGTCTCTTAAGGGACTGCTGATGAAGAAAAGTTGGGACACACCAATGAGGCAAAGATAAGAAGCCCACAGACACCCTACAGTCAACTTTGCCTGTGCACGTCACACTGACAAGTGAGCTCCAAGGGGAAATCAGTCACTCTTCGGGGGAAGAGTGGGCTCTCGTGATCCTACCCTAGAAGTGGCAGCCAGCATAAACCAGGAACCCTACCTTGGTACTGCCTGGAGGGGTCCATGGTGCAGTCTCCAGTGATTGCTGCTGGAAAGGAGTCACCACTGTTCCACCCCATAGTCGCAAGTGACCCATGGATTGTGCAGACCCAGACAGGATAAGAGACTAGGCATGATGCATGTCCAGCCAGCAGACTGTCAGCAGAGGGACCCACCTCAGAAGTGGGCTGGCCTCAGGACAGCTGTGCTAGCCATAAGCTGACAGGGGCAAGGATTCTGGGAAGAAAGATGGGTATGTGGAGGCAGTCAAGCACTGAGGGGTCTCAGTGACTTGTACTGGAGGGCCTGTTTTCAAAGACCTGCTGCCTGATGGCATTTCTAGGTCACAGTGAGAATTGAAAATGTTGGGTAGAGATAAAGTAGGTCTCAGGGTCTTTGTGTTGGGGAATTTTCTGACACAAAGTTTATACACACATGTATGTACTCTCAAAATACTTTTGCAAACAAGGAGAATCATATTTGCCTTCACATTTTAAATACTAACATAATTTCAGCAAATGTTTTAATACCTAGATGCTTCTTTATTAGCACTCTAAACTTTCAAGCGCCTTAAAATATACTAATATAAACAATTTTCTCTTCTGATCTCTAGTAAGTTTTTCAAAGTCTGTTGAATCTATATGGTTATTAAAAATAGAAATATTTGATATTAAATACAGAAATAGTAAAGAAAACATAAAATTACATTGGTTCTCTTAAAGTTAGCAAGGACATAAAGCAAGCTGGTGAGCTAGTACTGCATATTAGCAATTCCCTGCTAAAGGAGAGCACTCAAGTAACACCAGATTAAAAAAAAAGATGATATGGGGCTGGTGGTGGGGCTCAGTAGTAGAACACCACTGGATGCTTAACATTTACAAGGCCCAGAGTATAATACTCAGCACCAAAAAGAAAGTTATGTGCATATGTTATATAATGTTTAAATTAGTATAAGCATCTATCATCCAAACAGCTATCCTTTTTTGTCATCAAAACATTCAAAATTCTTTTTTGTAATTCTTTTGAAATATACAGTATGTCATCATTATTTATAGTCACCCTATTGTACAACAGAAAATCAGGACTTAGTTCTCCAAAAAAATGTACAATTTTTATTTGTCAACTAAAAAACAAAAGTAAGATAAGTAATATGCATTTGAAAGTATCCTTTCCTTCTTTGATTTTTGCAAGTATTAATATTTTAAAGTACAGAGTAAAAACAACAACATTCAAAGACAACCTCATTTATGGACAAAGATAAAAATTTGTACCTTTTGTTCTAAGTGATTCAAATTTAAGTGCTTATTTTTCTGAAAATGCTCACTCAAACACAGAGAAGAAAAACCAATGAAGATGCTACAAGAATTTGAGTGGAACACATGGATGACAACATGTAGTCCAAGAGTACACAGAGAGAGGGCCAATGAGACTACTGCTTCGGCTTCAATCCCGGCTTCTACCCTCTTGTTTTGTGTTCCTGGGGTTGGATTTGCAGGTCACTTGTCAAAGAAGTGCTGGTTCTGAAAGAAGCATATCTCTATTTTGGGTTTCTCCCTGATACTTGTCCTCTAACTCATTTACTCCACTTGCTAAGTCCCTCCTGTGTGTGGCAGGTGATCAAGGCACTGAGCACTTTTCATGTCTCAGTTCTGAAACACGTGCTGAAGTTCTCCAAGGATCTAACAAAGAAACTGTGAATATGTCATAGCAAAATGTCAACAAACATTCATGAGAAGATAGTGACTGATGTATTAGAACCTACCCTGTACTATTAAGTCAGAAACTAATCTCACAGACTTTAGATACCTATGCTGCTAATGTTCCCTTGGTCTTCTAACCAGATGGTTCTCCAAATGCCTGTGTGATTTCTAATGGTGTGAATCAAAATAAGACAGGTAAATACCAAAAGGCAGAGCCATTCCTTCCCAACAGGAGTTTCTGAAACTTCAGGGTTCCTCTAGCCATCATGCCAAAGCCTCTTGGGCTCAGAACATATTCTGAATTACAGTGTCCCCTTGCCTCACCTAGGTTAGACACCGAGTCCCTTCAGAATCATTGAAAAGTGTGAGGCCAAATGGCCCTGCATCACAGAAGCAGGCTGCAGGCTATGCCTTACTCAGCAGGTGGGAGCACAGTCATTTCATCAGGGCCTCTGGTTTTAGGAAAAAGGGCTAATAAAATAGCATCCATTAAGACTACAACTACAGATGGAAAAAAACCCCAGAAAGATATGTTATTTCTGTCCTTAACATTCAAATAGTCAAATGCAAGAAAAAAAACACAAGACAAAACACTACCAAGTACACTAATTTATCTCGTGTAAGAAAGACTGTAGGTTTTGGGTTTCTTTTGGTTTGATTTTATTTTACTACAAGAAATAATGGGATATATTAATGGGGCTTCTCTACAGTTGTACCTGGATTGATTTTGCCATTGGTGGGCTTTGTTTTGTCACTAATGAAATCTTTACTGTTGGAAACAAATGAAATAATTTATAAAGGAAATGGTATGAGCGAGGAAACAGCCTGTCTGGTCTGCAGCCGGGAGATCTGACCTGAGCCAGCTCTGCAAATGACCCAAGTAGGTCACTGAAAACAAGTCATCTCTTTGTTCTTTATTTTCCAGTAGGCACGGAATGGCTAACATGTTTTTATCTGGGTTAAGGAGCATGTAGACATTTGAGCACAAGGCTTCTCTTGTCCCCCCATCCAGAGTCTGAGCATGTGGATGGACCACAATGAGGTGCCTACATCTAACAGTGCTGTCAGCTCACAAACCTCCCAAGACCACAGCTGAAGATCTTATTCAGGAGGTTTCTTGAAAACCAAGGAAAAGTCAATTACCACATCAGGAACCTGGTTTGAGTCTCCAGAATTTAAACAACTACCAGTTACCCCCATCATATAAACAGAAAGGCAACTCTATGTAAATATCCACTGTGACTATTTCACAGCACACTGGAATTAAATTAATGAATAAAGATGAAAGCCAAGAAGGTAATCTCAGATGTTGCACTGATGTGGTCTCTAAATTTATTCCTTAAATTCAACCCAGAGTCTCAAATACTGGACTCTTACTACAAAGGCACACTGTCACATGGGGTGCCTTCAGCAAAGGCCATATAAAGCTGTCTTGCATAAAACTTGTGCATCCTACATTCCAGCCCATTAAGTTGTAAACTACTTTTATGGGCTGAACAAATGTTAATGCCATTATATGTTAATGGATAATGCTATGAAAAGCACCAAAGTACTCCAGCACTGGAACCTTTAAGGATGAAATATAGTGTAACTTAGAAAATTGTCTGTTACAAACATATGTCAGCCATGAGGGCTTCTAGCCCTTATGGCCCATCTTCTCAGATCTCAGATATAATTTTGCCCTTGGTTAAGAGAATTTTGCAATTATACACAGATTTATTAAGTCCCGAGATTAAAATTCTCTGAGTAAGAATAAAAAATAATTGTACTTTAGAACACAATGCAATATTCAAATGACTTGAAAACAGTCACCTCAGCAAAAATAAGAGATGGAGAAGAAGCAGCAGCTATAGATGAGATTGGTAATGTTGGCCATAAAACTGAGTTTAAGTGCACTTTTACATCACAATCACGTGGAGACTGAAACCTCCCTTTTACAGCAAGATGCCTGGTTTTTCTTGTTCTTTCAGAACTCTGAACACTGATAAACTTGAAGCTCTCTTCCTTTGAGTTCTGACTTTACCATCAAAATTTTCATTCAGCTTCTCTGGTCACTCCTTCTTATATCTATTTGGCACTGAATCTTCCTTTTCTTGACTTTTAAATGTGAGGACTTAAATCCTTGCTATTTCTTGGTCTGTAGTCTTTTTCCAGGAAAATGTAGCCATGTCTATGGTTTTATTGCCAATAACATGCAAATTAACACAAAACACTGGACTGTAGCTCAGACCTCTGTTCTGAGCTCCAGACCCCTGTATGTTTACCTCTGTTCTCCAAGTTCACTCAGATGTCTCAAAGGCATGTTACTCAGCATGTCTAAAAATGAATTTGTGATTTCCTCTCTCCCCACTAAAATAAGACCTCTCCTAAGACTTCCTGTGTCTGTGAGTGCACCTGCAATCATCTATCCTCTGGATTCCTACAATGGCAGCCATTCTTGTTGCTTCTCCTCATCCCCCTCACTCCATCATTGACAGCAGCCAGAGTGGTGCACAGAAACCGCCAAGGTGATCACAATGCTTTCTGTTTAAATGCTTCACTGGCTCCCTTTGTCACAGGACCTTGAACATGACCAAGGAGACCAGCAACATCTGGCTCCTCTCACTTCTCCTGCCCAGCTTTATCTGTCTGCTCTCTAGCTATGCTGGCTTTCTCCGTCCTATCAGGGTCTCTAACAAGCCAAGCTCTTCATTTCCTGTGCTTGGAATCCTCACCATTCTTTTACTTGATTTCCTATTTATCCCCTGAGTATCAGTTCAAATGTCACTTCCTCAGTAAAGTGGTTCTTGACCCCCAGGAAGGTCATAAACCCTATAGTAAGCACTCATAAATCCCTGAGCATTTATCATAGTTAATGTTATATATTCACTTACTGGGATAGTTGAAAAACTAGCATATATATCTCTTCCAGTAGACTGTCAGTTCCAAGAGGGCAAGGGGTCATGTCTGTCTGGCCCACCATTGTTCTCCCAGTAACCTCCCACAGAGAAAGGGCAGGAATACCCCAAGTATCATCATTCCAAGGCATTTTTCATGACCTTCCTCTTCCTCCACAACAACAGTACACCATCACAAACATGATGGCTACAAACAGGTACTCCTGGGAACCTTAACCACACCAGGTTTACTTGACCTAGTCACAAGAGCAGAAAAACTGATAAGGAAAATTGGGCACCATGAAGACTATCCATGGAAACTTGCCATTCAAATGACTAACAAATCATGCCCATGACTTACAACAAATGGCATCTATTTGTAAGCATCACAGTGACATTCATCATTTTCTTTCAGAGGATTTTTTTCACTCACTCACTGATTTATTCATTCATTCATCAAAACTGAATTCTAAAGTCAAGACATTGGAGACACAGCCTGAGATG